TAAAGCAGAACCACTTGAAACAGGAAGTCCTTCCTTGGTTTCCTTTTAACGCTTGTCATTGTGCCCTGCCCTGGTGACCACCATGGTTCTTCAGATCCTGTAGTTAACCAGGAGCATGCTTGCCTTGCACACACTAGATAGCTCCTCCCTAAAGACCAGGTGGCACACTCCCTGCCACACCTCCTTCAGATCTTGAACCTTCTCAAAGAGGTTTTCTGTAGAGTATAAAGGAATGTTTACAAACACTTGAAGACAGTACCTTCCAATCCCATTCCTTGTCTCATTTTGGTTGCTTGCATCATCTTACTATGCACATACAAAAATATTTGCAATATTATTTCTGCTAAAGCATGAACCTGCCACAAACTGTTGAGAATCTGCCACTTACCAAGTAGGCTATTACCAGCAGCATGCTTGTTCTGTTTTTCCCTGTAGTCTCCTCTTCCTCCTAAGAGGCAACAAATGGCCTAGATTTTGAAAACTCCTCATTCTCTTCATTTAAAAATAGGTTCATCTCATCATGTGCACTCCTAAATAGTAGATTTACCTCTGCTTTTAAGTCATATGGAAATGGTGTTCTGTTATAGGTATCTTTTCATTTCTATCTTATTTGTATTTCAGTGTTTCTTTAAATTATGAACTGTGCTATTACAGACATTCTCTGGTATTCTGTAAAAGTGAAGTTACCGATTCAAAGTGATTGAGTTATTCACTTTTGCAAGATTATACCAAATTATTTTCCAAACAGGTCGTAGCCTTGTATTTACACCAGAAGCATATGGGAGTTAGCGCTGCTGCACTAAGGTTGCTCAGGTCTTGACTCTTTGCCCAGTCATGCAGGGCGAAATGCTGTCTCGATGCTCTTTCTTCGCGTTTTTATCATTACTGATTGAAGTTGAGCATATTCCAGAAAGTGTTTGATTAAAGAATATTTTCGCTGTAGTTAAATTTCTGAATATTTTTTTCCTAATTTTCCGTATGGTTTGTTTTTTATTTTGCCTTGTAGCAGATCTTGCTTTCATCTTGTAAATAGTGTTCCTGTGTATGCAGTGGATTTCATTTGCTTTATGTTTTCATGATCGAAAATTATTTCAGTGTAGCAAAATTTATCTTTTTTTATGGTCAGAAATTTTAATGTCTCTGTAAACAAGTGTGTTTGGTGATGGAAAGATGCTCAATGGTCAGCCATTACTGCTCTTGGGCAGGACCCGAATTTGGTTCCTAGCACCCCCATTGCCAGCATTCACAGCCTTCTGAAAGAAACTTCATTCAGCTCAGGCGGATCTGATGCCTCCTTGCTTCTGTGGACACTGTATCATGTGCACAGCCATTTCCACACACACATAGATAAAAATAAAATAAATCTTTGAGGGGAAAAGAAGCAGCAGTAGCCTACCAGTATCAGATTGTCTTAGCAAATGTCATGGTGTATACTCAGGAAGCTAAGGCAGGAGGATCCTGAATTTGAAATCAACTTTAGTTACATGAGTTATAGGCCAGCTGGTCTCGGTATCTAGTTCCTATGGGGGGGGGTATTTTTGCATTGTTAATTGAAACTGGTTTTCATTTATATTTTTATTCCAGTTGAAATTGATGTATAGATGTGGGATTTCCCTTTATATGCTGTTGATTAATAAAGAAACTGCTTTGGCCTATAGAAGGGCAGAATATAGCAAGGCAGGAAATCCAAGCAGAGCTAGAGGAGGAAAGAAGGCAGAATCAGGCAGACATCATGTAGCTGCCAAAGGAGAAAGATGCCAGAACCTTACCAGTAGTCCACACCCTCATGGTGATACAGAGATGAATAGAAATGGGTTAATTTAAGATGTAAGAGCTATCTAGAAATATGCCTGAGCCATCAACCAAACAGTGTTGTAATTAATAGAGTTTCTGTGTGATTATTTAGGTCTGAGCAGCTGGAAAAAAAGAACAGTCTCCCTTTACAATGTATATATGTTATGAGTTAAGGATTCATTTTCTTTTGTTCTATCTTTGGGTAATCTATTATTGTCCTGCATCATTTTTTGAATAAGTCTCCACTGACTTCAAGTTCTCAGTGTCCTGGCCTCCTAGTTCCTTACTCTGGTCCATTGGTTATCTTACCTGAGCCTCTGCTATAGATCTGAAACAAGTCTTGATGTTTTGTTTTGAGCCCAATTCCTATACCCACTCTTCCACCCTCCAACATACATCTGTCACAAATGCCTTGGTTATTCTTAGCTCTTTGTTCTTATTTAATTTTGAGGTGCTGGAGATGAAACCTAAGTCCTTGAACTTGCTAAGCCCTCTGCTGTTGAGCTGCAGTTGGTCCTTGTTTGTTTGATAGAGTCTTCCTGTGTCCCTGGCATGGGGATTGAGTGATATATAGCCTGGGTTGCTTAATTCTTCTCCCAGCCAGACGCTGTCCGTTCCTCCCTCCTCCTGGCTTTCTTTCTTGCACAGACTGTCACTATATCGCGTAGCTGCCCTCAGACTTGTGCTTCTCATGCCCCCGTCTCCTGAGTTGTGGGGTTACAGACATGCCCCACTACACCCAGCTCATAAAAGGTGTGAGGTCCTTCATGGGGTTCTTTTATTTTTCTGTCATCAGTGCATCTCTTCTTAGCTGTGTTTCCTGTGTTCTTGTTCCAGTTGTCTCAAGGATTTATCACCCCCTTCTGGTTTGTAGTTCTGCGGGATCTTTTTAATATCATGTTTGTTTGTTTTGTTTCTCTGGTTTATTTATTCTTAAACATCTCAGGCGCACACTTTCTTATGTCTGGACTTCTTTCCTGACATAACACTCAAAGTCATAAACTTTTCTTGTAAGTGCAGTATCAGCCTTCTTCCACATGTTTGGTAAGATATATTTTAAATATTTTGGTCCTGAGTGTTTTTCTCATTTTTGTATAGTTTTCCTCTTGCCCTGATGAATATATATATATTCGAGACAGGGTTTCTCTGTAGCTTTTTGGTTCCTGTCCTGGAACTAGCTCTTGTAGACCAGGCTGGCCTCGAACTCACAGAGATCTGTCTGCCTCTGCCTCCTGAGTGCTAGGATTAAAGGCGTGCGCCACCACGGCCTGGCCTTTAGAGATATTTTAAAATTTTCAAGTATGTGTTGATTTTGGCATATATTTTTATAATTGTCCTTAATTTTATCTGTGTATGTATGTACACGTGTGCTTGTACACATGTACTCTCATGATATACTTTTGCATGTGCTCTTGGAGGCCACAAGTGGGTATCAGATTCCCTGGAGCTGGTTGCAGGTTGACTGACTTGGGCACTGAAACTGAACTCACAGAGCTCCGCCTGCCTCTGCCTCTGCCTCCTGAGTGCTGGGATTAAAGGTGCGCATCACCCCCACCCGCAAGATTTTCATAACACTCTATTCTAAAACTCTCTCCATCTTCCCTTACTAGGTTTAAACTCCTTGAAACTCAGGTCATCATGTATTTCCTTTTGTTTCCTGAAAGTCTGCTCTGTCTGTAACGTTTTGTAATCGACCTGATATCCATTGATAGTTACCAAACTTGAATTTTGAAGGTTTGGCTTTCACCTAATGCTGTTTTACCCATTCTGCCCTGGTGACCTTATTTTAGTTACCATGGTCCTCTGGCAATGACTTTTAGTTGAAATCATCCTGTCGCACTCTCTAGGCTAGAGTGGCTTGAGCATCTCATGATATCAGACTCAGCCCCTGCTCTGCTAGCACCGCCCCAGCCAGTTCCTCTCGTAGTTTGAAGTCCCACAACAGGCACAGCCGTTCTTGTTTCACGTGAAGCCAAGATCTCGGTGTGATCTCTGTTTTGATTTTCATTATTTTTTTTCATTTTGCTCCCAGTCACAAAATCCTATGAACTTTTTTCTCTAAAATGGTTCAACCCCCTTCCCATGTGCTTCCCCTCCCCATGTGCTTCCTGTCTTCACACCGGTCCTGGTCTCTGCCTGACTGGTGGGAGGGAGAAGGCTCTGACCCTGGCCCTGCAGGCAGTGAGCCTGCCTGTCACTTCCTTTGCACTTTTGTGTGTGTGCTTATTGTTCTCACTGAAGAGCTTCCTTAAGGCAAAATCAGCAGCACGGAAAGGATCTTAGAGAGAGCACGAGAGAGTGTCTCAGAAGACTGCTCGCTCTGTCTGTCCATCTGTCTATCCACTGAGGAAACTAGCACAGTAAATTCTGAGTACATCCATTCTCTCCTGAGTTTTCAGAGTTTGGCTCCCTCTCCCCCATATGTTGTCCCAGTTTGTTTCCACACATGTACAGGTAAGGACTGTGTGAGTTGTGTGAACATCTCTGGCTTATTCTTTCTATGTAGAGCTCTTATTAGCCTTGGGGTTTTTTGTTTGTTTGTTTTGTGTTTTTAAGACAGGATCTCACTGTGTAGCTCCACTGTCCTGGAACTCATTCTGTAAACCAGACTGCCCTGAAACTCACTGAGATCTGCCTACCTCTGCCTCCTGAGTGATGGGATTAAAGGCGTGCACCACCGCATGGGTTGGCTTTGGTTTTTATTGTTTTACATTTTGAAATTGTATTGGAGTGTCTCACTTGTGCTTTTATTATAGCCGGTGTGAATTCTAACGGAGCCTGTCTGTGTGTCAGTCCTGCTTCTCTCCAGTCACCCGGAAATACCAGCAAGGGACACTCATTTGATTTACTTACGTGACACTTGTTATAGTGTGTTTTGAAATTTTTATATTAAAAATAAGTGTATTTAATTTATGCAGGTTTTTAAATTATGGGGCAAATAGAAATAATAGCTTTAATTGCTTTGTAATAATTATTTATATGATACCATTTTGAAAACAGGTATATTTTCCTGGCAGCGATGTTTATATGAATGTAGTGCTAACTTCAAGAATATCAAATGCTTTAACTGTAAAAGGTGCTTAACCTTTAATTAGTTTAGGCTGAATCAAAATATACAAATTATATTTTCATATGAGAAAATTTCCATTTTGGAGCATGTCAAAAGAATAAATGTAGTAATTTGAGTGCTCTATTTTTGTTTCTAGAAACCAGCAAATATCCTAGTAATGGGAGAAGGTCCTGAGAGGGGGAGAGTCAAAATAGGTAGGTAATTATTCCTAAAATGATTGATGAAGAAACCGAGGTGATTGCAAAGATGTTGTCCCTTTTAATACCCTTATTAAGTTGTTGATTTTAAAATTACTTTCTCAGAGTGTTTATAGAAAAGATGTTGGAAAATGTAGGTAGTCTATAAATGCAGTTTTTCCACAGCTTGTTCCTCAAAATGAGATGCTGTCATTCTTAATAGAGGCATCAGTTGACATGACATTTGCTCCCAGAGAGTATGCCGTGTGTCTCCACCATTCTCCAGCACAGAGCCCCTGCTTACGCCGTTCTTTCCTTAGCCTTGCCTGTGTTCTCTTCCCACATCCATTGCCTTCTCCTAACTTAGTGCTTCCCACTCCTCCGTCCCCAGCAGCACTGCTTTGGCCGGGCATTGTCGTCCCTGTTGAAATGAATGCTTGAAGGCCTCACACTTGTCTGTGTTCATTAGCCTAGGAAGGAAGGGCTTTAACGAAACTTTGCTTGCTACTAGAAAGTTGATGCTGGGGGTGATACAACCTGACTGCAGCCTGCCCTGCTGCTTGCTTCCTACTTTGGCATCTTCTTCCCCAGTCCAGTTCCAGAGGAAGCTGTTCTAAACTAGTAAGCCAAGCCTGCTTTGAGCCTCTGCCTGGTTGGCGTGGATTGACCTCCATTGAACACTGTATTGGCATTGTGTACCTCATAGGTGCTTTACCCTCCTGGTCCTTTCCCATTATTTGCTTTTATTTTTAACACACATTTTCTTTTTTATTTATTTATTTTTTTTATTTTGTTTTGCTTTGTTTTGTTTTGAGACAGGGTTTCTCTGTGGCTTTGGAGCCTGTCCTGGAACTAGCTCTGTAGACCAGGCTGGTCTCGAACTCACAGAGATCTGCCTGCCTCTGCCTCCCAGGTGCTGGGATTAAAGGCGTGCGCCACCATCGCCCGGCTAACACACGTTTTCTTATAGGCATTTATTGAAGATGTACATTTTACTCGGCAAAAGTGAAAGTGAGATAAAGCTGGTCCCGCCCATGAGAAACAGTCATGGAGACGTTTTACCCTGCAGTGTGGTTCTTTGTTTTGTTACCTCAGCCACATAGCTGCCTCCTACAGGGGGATACAGTAAAGGAAAACTGGACTTAGATGAGCTGGTTCTCTAGTGCCTGCTAGTTCCCTTGATAGCTTTAAAAACTGACTGGTTTTCTTAAGCTTCCTGTATTACAGCATTGTCACTTAGCTCTTCTCACGCTCCTCCTGTTCCCTTAAACACTGACAGTCCTCCCTCCATTTTAAATCGAATCTTACTTCTGCCAGTGTAAAACACGGCCTTGTCCCCAGATGAAGGGAGAATTTATTCTGAGCCAATCACAGTAACTGTGACCTCTGGGCATAGATTTATTTAGGTTCGCCTAATAGTTCCATTGTTGGAGCAGTTACAACAAACGTTTGTACAAACAAAAAAAGCATGTATCAAGGCACCCCCCAGATGCATGGGCAGAAACGTCCTGTAGACAGACAGCTGAGAGCCAAGTGGGTGGTAGGTGTGTGTGACCTGGACAGATGGACAGCTCTGCTTTGGGTCTAATATATTATCACATTCTAGCTTTCATGTTGATGGAAGCTGGAGGTCTGTTAATACATTCTGGAGCTTTTACCTGATGGCTGGAAAGATAAATCAGACACAGAAACAAGGAATAACGAGATCCTGAGATCACTTGGCTCTGGACCTGCAAAATTCCAGGTTTCCACAACCACAAAGTCCTAATCATTAGCCTGGCTGAACCTTTAGCATGGGGCATGACATTTTTCCGAGAACTCCATTCACAGTTCCCCTTCTTGGCATGTACTGCATTTTGTACATGTAGAGGCTAGAGGTTGTTTTGTGTTGGGAAGGCTCATTTGTAGCATCTAATGAAGGTAAAGCCAAGTTGACCAGAAAGCAGTGTACAGGAGAGGGGGGTTATTAGAACCACAGGAAGGAGCCCCCACATCCTATAACATTGCGGGAGGTAGAGGCAGGCGGATCTCTCTGTGAGTTCGAGGCCAGCCTGGTCTACAAGAGCTAGTTCCAGGACAGGAACCAAAAAGCTACGGAGAAACCCTGTCTCGAAAAACAAAACAAAACAAAACAAAACCAAAAACATTGTTAGCTGTCAGGATCCAGGTCAAATTTGTTTTGTTGTTTTGTTTTTTGAGACAGCAGTTTACTCTTTAGTCCAGGGTGGCTTCAAACTCAGAGATCAGTTGCCTCTGCCTCCCAAGAGCTGGGATTAACCACTGCCCAACCTTTTCTCCCTTTTTGCCCTCTCTGTCTGACATGTACATGTGACAGATAATATAAACATTATATATAAAGTAAAAATAGTCAAGAACATAGTATTACCTAAAGAACTAAAGGTAGCCAGGCGGTGGTGGCGCACGCCTTTAATCCCAGCACTTGGGAGGCAGAGGCAGGCAGATCTCTGTGAGTTAAGAGACCAGCCTGGTCTACAGAGCTAGTTCCAGGACAGGCTCCAAAGCCACAGAGAAACCCTGTCTTGAGAAACCAAAAAAAAAAAAAAAAAAGAACTAAAGGTAACAGGTGACAGTAAGAAAGGCATTTTAAACCAAATCCCGATTCAAAAAAAGATCTTTAAACTGTGTTTTCCCTGTGTCTGTAATCATGTATACTCTATGAAATATTTTCTTTGGTATTTGTGATATGTGAAACAATTTATTGCTGCTTTGATTTTTGGGTTTTGGGGGGACAGTTTGATTTTTTTGTAGCCATAACTTATGTGATATGGCCACTTTTTGTTTTAGGATTGATTTTAATGTCTATGTCATTTTAGGTATTATTTGTGATTTATTTGTCCTGTTATTGTGGTATTATACTGGAAAGCCTGGGAAAGTAAATGGGTAAGAGTTACATTACAGAAGAAAATCAGATTATAATAATTTTAAAATTCCTTCTCAACATTATCCTTTATGTACCAAGTGTTGTTATTGTTAGGGGAAGACAAGGGGCCAAACTTGTGCAAGATCAGCATTTGTGGGCATAATAAAATCTTATTTCTTATTTTACAATGAGAAAGGAAACTGGAACTCCAGTAAGTTGTTTCATAATTTTACCCTCTGATGTACTGTTCATTGTCAGATTAGGAGTATCATTTGGTAATTTTAAAGAATATTTTTATTTGTTTATTGACAATTCCATACACTTATAAAATATATTTTAATCAGCTCTACCCAGATAGTAATTCAGCCCGCCCCCTCTCACCCTTATGTCATTTTTAAAAACATGAGTTTATTTAGTGCATAAAGGTCTGCCTGATTTTGGACAACCTGCCAGTGGTCGTACCTTCAAAGATAAAATTACACCACCCCCACCCCCAGAAGCCATCAACTTCCAATAGCTTCTGAGTTAGAGGTGGGGCCCAGTGAGCAGGTCTTAACAAGGTAACCCTTGCTGTGAGTTCATGAGCCCAGTGGCCATGCCGTGTCCAGGAGGCAGCACTTTGCAGCACTCCTCCAGCCTCCGGCTCCTGTCTTTCCACCGCTTCTTCTGCAGTGTCCCCGGATGCCAAGGGGCAAAAATGTTTTAAAATTTTGGCTTGCACTATGGAAACTCTGAAGATCCATTTAATCAGGAAACATAGGTTTTACGGTATGGTCTCTTAAACAGAAGTTTTTTCTTTTTGGAAGAATAAGTTGATGTGTTTAAATATAAGTCCTTTAAAAGATACATGGTTAAAAGATCACTTTTATCAGATCTGCTCTAGACCTTCTAATTTAGTACCTGTACATCCAGAGATGTCTCCTTTGATCCTAGAGCTTGTACATTTTTGATGCCAACACCATGGCTGTTGTTGACTTTAGAGACCACTGTCTTTAGAGTGTTGTATACATTGAGTCAACTCAAAGCCACTGGTTGTCAGTACAGTTAGTTGTATGTCACAGACAGCCTTGAATTTATTGTATCACAAACAGTTTTGTTAGAAATAATAATATAATAATACAAATGGTTGGAGCCAGTTAATATTTTTTTCCTTTTTCTTATTAGAAGATTCTATTTGGTTTTTGACTCTAGCTTGATTTAAAATTGAGGTATTCCTCAAATTGAATTCCTTTTTAGAAAATTTAAAATTAAAAATACTGCCGACATGAGTAAAATTTTTAAAAGTTATACTGAATAATGAGATTTTTCAGTGAAAATATTTGAGTCATTTAAAACACCAAGACTTGATGTAAGTCAAGCAAACACATGCATGATTAGTAAAAATGACATAATACTGTTGCCCTCTTTTGTAGTTTTACTAAAACCAAGATTAGTAATTTACCAGTTAGGAAAATATGCCAAGGGAAATGTAGTATTTCTTAGACAGTTTTCAAACCATCTAAGCCCTAAAGAGTGAACGTTAGGAGTACTGTCTGAGTGGTTGGAGTTCAGTTGCTTGGGATGCTCAGTTGTTGGTGTAGTGGAGGATGAGTTTGTGGTTGTGTCTGCAGAAGCTGGTCCAAGTTCAAGGTGAGAAATACAAATGGAAGAATTACCCTCTCAAGTTCTCTAACTCAAGAGGTGCTTCAAAGTACAGATGGGGTCCTTCTGTCCAGGCTAAAGGACTCTGAAGCATAAGTTCAGTTGACAGTCACCTGGTGTTAGCTCTTGTCGTTTTGTTTTTATCTAGGTGTTCAGTCTGGGAGAACTCTAAACAATTCTGGATTTTTAGAGTTGTTTAAGTCTCATAGTAGTACATAATGTCTCATTATTAGAGGTGACTTGTACAGTCCTTTGTCCATCTTTATGTCCAGTTACTGTCAAGTTCTAGGGGCAGATCGAGTTTGTCCCATGTAGTTTATTCACAAACAATCACAATAGAGTGTACACTTGGTGGAACCAAGTGAAATCACTCACCTCTCAGCCAGAGCCCTCTTCACTGTAAGAAAGGGCAGGAGAGGCCTGGAGACCTGCCGTGTAGATCTGAGGTAATAGTTCTCCTCCTTCATTTTAAAAGCTAAGCAGCAGAGAGACCCAT